CCCCCCCCCGAAAACAAGGGAGAGGACAGGCCCCAGGCCAAGTAGCCTGACTTAGGCCCGGCCAGGCCAGCTCTTTGGAAAGTGGGACAGATGACAGTACTGGGGACTGTGGGGTCACAGTGGGACTGGATCCAGGGACCAACTGGAGCCCGGGTTTGCCGTTGAGCCCATGGCTTCAGCCTTGGAGCAGTAAGCGTGGCCCAGTGTGGAGGTCGGCAGGAAGATGTAGGCAGTGACTGGTTAGCACAGGACAGGACTGACAGCCTCTGCTGGGCACAGAAGTTGCTTTGGGCTGGCTAAGGCTGATCCCATCACACAGTGCCCCTGTGCATGGGATGGGAAGGGGAGGGAAATCAGCCTCTACCTGCCACCCTACCTTAGGTCCAGCCATCTCCTCAGCCCCCAGGAGCCTAGGGATCAGGAGCACACCCCCTGGAGAAGCTCTCAGGTTGGCACTGCCAGTGGGCTCCAGAGGGTAACATCAGGGCTCCATCTCATAGGGAGGGCCCTCTTGCAGGGGAGGAAGCCAGCAAACTTGGCCTGCCGCCCTCTAAAGATCACTGCCAGAGCCAACACCAGCCTCCTCTGCCATCAGCCATCTCCAGGACTGAGGGACTGAGCTCTTTTACCTTCCACAAAACAAACAACAAACACACACAGAACACATAAGCCCCCAAATGCTATGCTAACCTCTGCTATGACCTCACCTGAACAGCTGATACTGACCTAGGTGAATCCATTACCCACCCTAGTTCCTGCCCCCAACCTCCCTCCATGTCCTCCCAGCACACAGCCTGGGTCCCGACACCACCCCAAATCTGTGTCCCGTTTGCCTCAGCCAGGTGATAAGAGTTCTGGGACCTGCAGATCTCACCCTGCCAGCCATTCTGTTGGGACATCAGTAGTTGGGGGTTTGTGAGAGGCAGGAAGAGCTGTCCCAGCGCTTGCCCCACTCAGGTGTCCTGCAGGAGGTGGGGGAGGGAGACTCTATGAAGCTGAGACTCCCAACACCAACGAGGTGACCTCCTGAACTCTGGTGTGGGACGCCAGTGCTTTGCTGTTGCGTGGGCACAGACTGACCCCTGTCTTCAGACCCAGTCACTGCAGACACTGCTCAGTCCCGGGTTTGGAGAGGATTTTCCTAGGCCTAGAAAAACAACCCAGGCTTGTCCCCGAGCTCCAGGCCTGTGCCTGGTAGGTTGGGTGCTGTTGCCTGAGGAGAGGGGCCTGATGCTAAGAGGTGGTCCTGGCCCATCTCCAGCTTCCAGTGTGAGGTTCTGTAGGGAGATGCTGCCCTCTCTGCCTACTGCTTTCCTCTTCTTAACATAAGCTGGCCCTGCTCAAAGCCCCCCAAAGAGCCCCACCCCCGCCAGGGCCTTCACACTTCCTTCCCTACAGGCCTACTGCTTGGCCCCTTTTGACCTCATCAAAGTTCGGCTACAAAACCAGACAGAACCAAGGGCACGGACTGGGGGCCCTCGACCCCGGTACCAGGGGCCTGTGCACTGTGCGGCCTCCATCTTCCAGGAGGAGGGGCCCCGGGGGCTATTCCGGGGAGCCTGGGCTCTGACACTGAGAGACACCCCCACACTGGGAATCTACTTTGTCACTTATGAATGGCTGTGTCGCCAGGTCACACCAGATGGCCAGAACCCCAGTAAGTGAAGTGGTGAGAGGGTGGGGGGCAGAGAGGAGAGGGGCGGGGAGCTGGTTCATCCTGGAGGATGTGGGAAGACAAGGGCAGGGGAGGGTGTTCCTCGGTCTGACCCTGCCCCGGGCTCCCTCTGCCCCAGGTTCAACCACAGTGCTGATGGCAGGGGGCTTTGCAGGCATCACCTCCTGGGTGACAGCCACCCCCTTGGACGTGGTCAAGTCCCGGATGCAGATGGCTGGGCTGGAGCAGAGGGAATACCAGGGGCTGCTGGACTGCATGGTGACCAGTGCCCGGCAGGAAGGGCTGGGGGTCTTCTTCCGGGGGCTGACCATCAACAGTGCCCGCGCCTTTCCTGTCAATGCCGTCACCTTCCTCAGCTACGAGTACCTCCTCCACTCGTGGGGATGAGCCTGGCCAGGCACTGCCAGCAGCTCCCCACGTGGGACTGACCGCCACCCACCTGCCCAGACTGGAGGCCAAGTTGAAAGCACGAGGTTGAGATTTCAATGCAAGAGGCTCAACCTCCCTTGTCAAGGCACCTCCCAGCCTGGAAGATTCAGACAGGGATGGGGACAGGGACGGGGAGACAGAGGCGGCAGTGGGGAGCAGGCCCCCCCGCCCGGTCCTAGGCTCTGCCCAGGATCCAAGGCTTCCTCAGCCTCTGGTAGCACTTGCCTTGATTCCTTCGTAAACCAACCTACCAGTGCTGCTGGTGACATCCTGGCCCCGTCCTGTGACTTTTCCCTGCAAGAGCCCTTAGCCTCCGCTCTGCTGCCTGGGTGCTAACT